GTAGGAGTGTAAAGGACATCGATGCTATTAAGTTTTTGTGGTTAAAAGACAACGGGGTGGGGAGACAGAAAAAAGTCCTCTTGTATCTCGAGTCGGGTCAAATTTAATCAGGAACTTTTTTGTTCGTTAGTATTTACGTTTAGTTTTATAAAAACCTATTTTAACCCTCAAAATTCAGCTTATTTTCTATTTTATAATTACAGTATAACAATTATTTTTAAAGAAAATATCACATTTGATAGCGCTGCAATAATTTTAACTTAGTATTCATATAACGTCTAGAGGTAATTTCAAGGTTTTCTGAACGTAAATAACACGCAAAACCTTTACACTTTAATATAAATATTATACGTCATCGAATAGATATATAGGTTTGATGAGTAATAAATACTACATATGAAAAGTGTATAAAAAAGTGTAGTTGAGAACGGAGAGGAAAGAAAAAAGTAACCCATTCGATACTGTTGGTGCTTTCTCTCGTATATTTTTCTGGTATGTATTATTACTTTCTCTAATTAATAATTAAAATTTTGTAATATAATAGTTAATATGTTGTTTTCTCAACTAATCTTTTAAAATAGAACTCCTAATGTTTTCATACCGTCATATCATGTTATATATAACACAGGTGTATATACAAATTTTATATTATTGTTTCATTTAATTTTCCTTTTTTAAAAGAGAATACAGCAAGTCTTTTCGTATGTAGGAAATTCCGAAACTTACGGTATATATTGATAAGAATTTATAGTTTGAGTATATGTCTCTTTAATCCGAATTAGTAAAACACAGTAGTCTTTCTCTCTGCTATAAGGTTAGGTACTCCTTTATTGCAAATCACAAATGCATTTCAGGCCTATATGAGCCCCTCTTCAGTGTAAATGCTCAGAATATAGAGCAACGCTTTTCTAATTATATCACTCTAACAATGATATTTTATATAGGCCTAATCCAAAAGAAAAAAAAAAACATGAGATACTATTTACACTACGTATTCATCATCTACCACACCTGATATTGAGAAGAATTTATAGATTCTTGCGATAAATTAAAAAGATTTAATTAAAATTATTTTGTTTATCAAACACACGATGTACTGTGTATTCGATGCGTGTTTATTTTTTCGTTTAATGTAAAAAATATAATTAAGAAGTTAGTTTGATCAGTTATGTAAAGTTATTATTTCAAGTATTGAAAAATTTTATCGTTTATATTATTACAACTTATATAATTTACAAACGATTTGGAAATGAGAAAAAGTTATCTTAATAACATAGAATTACACAGCAATATACTTGGTGAAAAGATAGTTAAACACTTGTATCATTAAAAATTCCAACAATTACTCAACAGATGAAGGAAATAAAATATTCTTTACAGAAAATACTTTAGCGTTAAATATAATGTGCTGTACGTGTCGGATCTTTCCTTATAAAAATCCGTTTGTTGAAAATACACGTTGCATAACTTAAAATTGTTCATTGCACGCCGGCCGAAATTTGTATGGAAGATGTTTTATTGTGAAAATATTTATGAGTTAGATATATTTATTCCTCATAAATTCGATTGTAGTTCTACAAAATTTAGTAAATTACTTTTGGTCGATAATAAATTAACGTTATATTTCTGACAGATTATTAAATTCATTTCATCAGTAATTTATTTATTTTCATTGTTTTCATAAACTTTTTAGTAGTTTTATTTTTACATTGTTTTCTTATATACATAGGCCTATATAAATATATATATAATTATGCATTTTTGATTCCCTTCCATTAATATAACCGTTTGCTAATTTGCTTATTTCAANTAAACTTTCTAGAAGTTTTGTTTTTACATTGTCTTCTTATATATAAATATATATATAATTATGCCTTTTTGATTCTCTTCCATTAATATAACAGTATGTTAATTTGCTTATTTCAATGTTTTCATCGCTCATTGCTAGTGTACAGGAACTTGGTTATTACGGTTACCAAGAGCAAAAAGGATACTAGCATAAAGGATCCTTTCGTTATATATTTTCGTTTTTTTTTTATTCTCTCTCGTTTTCTTCGATTAATTCTTTTGTTATACACCGATAATAAAATTTTTGATTTACATAAATGAGTCAGTTTAAATAATCTGTAATTTTATTATTCATTTATGCTTTCTGGTAAAGATATTATGCTGTATATTTGTTACATAAAGCGACAGTTAAAGCATTAAGTAACTTATTTCTGAAATTCTTCGTCAGTTTGCAGATTGACAGAAATGTAGTCTTAATACTGTTTTCCAAATAACATTACCATCAAACGCTAAGTAACTGTATTCTTTTCTTTACCGGCTGGTATATATACATAATAAAAGAAAGTATTGGAATTGTGTCAAATTTGATCTGACTTTTTGTGCAGATGACTAAGTCTTGAAATTTTTTGAAGTATATAATGAAAAAACGACATTAAAATATCGTGAGTGTGCATTTTTCTTTGTCCGCGCAGTAGTATATTTCGCTTATTAAGGTTTTATTTAATTTTATTAGGTTACACTGCCGAATTTCTTATTAAGAGAAATTAAGAGCTCACGAAAGTCTAGTATACAACAATGCACAATCTTAAGTAACTTATTTACTATACACGCTGTTTTGGAAAAACTTCTCACTTTCATTTTACCTTCATCTCTACTCTACTAATACTTTTCTGTAATTTTAACCATTGGGAATTACCCATGGGTAGTCCCGAGTCTTCATCCCCTTTTCGCTTCAATGTATTGGATAAACGGTAGAAGATGAATTAAAACTATGTAATGTAGTCATATACAGGGGTGAGTTGCTGCAATATTCTTCGCTATGCCTTCAACTTGAGTTTATGAGGATTTATCTGGTTCTAGTGAATAGCGTTATATATCGCTGTACTTTTTTCACCACCTCTGAGGTGGCGTCAGGATTGTAAAGATTGGTCCATTTTTCGGGCGTTAAGACGTCCTGAAATTTTGAGTTTAATCGGCTATATCTTTCCTGGAATTCCGGATTTTGAAACATGGATAAGGAAACAGAAACAAAGAAGACGTCAATGTAAGTGTGTGCACAAAATTTTCTATGTTTTGGCTCGGTAATTTTTGTTTTATTGCCGTTTTTGAGGACTTTCGGTTCGGTACCTTTTGTTACGCGGCGCACTCTAAGCAGGCCCGGTCGGATTTTCCGTGTAGTGTGTGTTGAAGGGCCATTTCAGAAGTAAATCCGAATTATTTGGGATCGATTAATCCATAAATTTTTAAATTATCGCGACTTATTTTTCTTCACTGACCGTTACAACGGCTCTAACTTAACATTCAAAACTTTACTTAGAATCCAACAAATGAAAACCAATATACTCGTCAAATCCGTGCAACCAAATGACAAAATTTCAGATACATTTTAATTCTTAACATTAAACTTCCATGAGAGTTTATTCCGAGAGACACGTAACTTGACTGTCAAGTCAGATGTCGTAAAATTAATTTTTATATCAATTCGCATGTGTTGTTAAGACGACAGTTTAGGGACAATGATTGGTAACATGGCTTTAATATAATTAAATAACCCAATCACAGATAACGCCATGTTTAATAAAAAGTGTGAGAGCCCTAATTTTATTTTCGGTTAATCTTTTACACAATTATATAAATTCAAGAATATTAACGGTTAATATTTATATTAAACGAAAGGAAAATTGTATAAAAAATTTCTCAACCATTAATAAAAAAATGAAAGGATATAATTGTATTTTCCATCAGTTTCACTTCCTTTAGAAGGTGACACATCTTCCGAATGTGTCAACTTTCACCGAAATTAATCTAGTGGCCACAACCTATAATATTTCCAAAAAAGGATAGCAAGAACATGAAAAAGACTCCCTCAATAAAATGGAGGGACCGATGACTTTCGTCGTCGTCGTCGCGAGTTCATCCTTGCCGGAGTAGCCCCTCGCTACATCGTGATCTTCCTCTTTCAAAAGTGACTTCTCCATCTAACTGTGAACTCCATCAATCCGGCATTGTAAGGTATCTATACATCTTATCTAGATGTAAGCTCTCTCTCTCTCTTTCTTTCCAACGTAAACCGCGAATTTGTTAAATAGTAGACGTATAATCTTCGTATAAAATATTAATCATTTTGTATAATTAGCTTAATAAACGGATAATTGTTATAGTTTAATTTGTGGTTGGTACACTTCCTCAAACGCGTTGTCTCTTCTGTCGCTTCCATCCCGATCCGACCGCCGTAAATACCTGACCGCTCGTGCGAAAACGAAATCGCTGTCGCGATTCTATGTCATTTATGACATAGTGGTGTCATCCTGACGTGGCATCGTTACATGGTGCCGACCCTCCGGTCACAAAAGAAACTGGTATTGTTTGTGTATTCAACTGTATTACACCCGAATTACCAACCAATGTATCCTCTGAATAAAATCTGGTTCACACTACACATATAGGTAACAAACAGTATGTTCCTGGCCAACATACTAGTTCGCTGCGTACAGTACAAAATACACGCAAGTAGACTACGTAGTAATCCAACAACGAATTGAAAATATCGTAATAAAGTAAAATGTTGGTTTTATAGCTAGAAGCAAGACAAGTCCATAACAGTAATGTATTGTACACGTCTCATTTGTTTCATACTAGTGACTTTTTCCATACTCTCTTATTCTATTGATGATAGACTGAAAGTTATTCAGAACAGCAGGATTAGACTATTTAGATATACAACTTTTGCGCCTAAATTTGTTGTCCGTGATTTGTTGCTATGGTGGCATGGCTAATATATTTTGTTCTGTGAGAATGTGCAATCATTTTTTCTATTTCAAAAACTGATAAGTAGCCTACTAAACTAAATAAAATAAGTTTTTTAAACTTTTCATTGGTATTTAAAGTAACGTGATTTCACAACTAAGAAATTACACCGAAACCACTAACAATATCATTTCAAAATCACAAAATATATTTCAATAAACTAATATGCAAATTTTACAGTGCAAATCAGAACTACTACAGCACTATTAACATTTCCACGTTATCTGATTTTTACATCTACATAACTTTTCTTAAAAATGAATTTTAAATAAATGAACAATTGCTCTGCATAGAAAACGATTATTCTTTTACAGTTTTATTTTGACGATATTTTCTGTGGTTTTATACTTATATTTCGCGATTCTGTATAGCTCTTTCATTGAATTTTTTCCTGTGTTTTTCACCAAATTATAAAAAGTACCGTTTAAGTTTTTCAGTAATGTATATGGCGTATCAAATTCTTTTAGTTTTCCTGACTCGAGAACCTGAAAAATTTGAAATCTTCAGTAAAAACACATACTTATTTTATATTATTAAACAGATAAATCTTACCAGAACTCTATCCGAATCGATAATCGTATGCAATCTATGAGCAATTGTCAACACTGTACAAGATTTGAATTTCTCTCGAATTATTTTCTGTACACAGCAGTCAGTGCTGGTGAAAAAATAAACGAATGAATGTATTATATTAATGTCACGCAAATACCAGCACAAAATCCCTTATAAAGTTAATGTTAATACGTTAATTATTCTGAGCACCAAATAATTATATCATGAACTAATCAGGAAATGGTCAGTCTACTATACGAGCACTAAGATAATCATTTTGCCATACACGACTTAATCGAAAAATTAATTTTTTTTATTATTTTCTCTAAAATTAAATTTTTGAAATTATATGACATTATAGGAATTCTAATAATGTTACTCCATAAATTGATTTTATAATTATTTTAAAATAGTTTTATGTAAATAGATGTAATACAATCTTACACTTTATCCATATTGGATGTTGCTTCGTCCATAACTAAAATTTTATTGTCACGAAGAATTGCTCTTGCTAAACATATTAACTGCCTTTGTCCAACGCTGAAATTTCGACCTCCTTCACTTACATGTGTATCCAACCCTCCAGGTAACTTCCCAATAACGTCTTTTAACTGAACCTTTAATATATATATTATAGAATAAGTATATAATGCTGATTGACCACTAATATCTGGCATCTATTATTGTATAATAGATTTATGTATTTTTCTCTCACCTCTTCTATAACTTGCCATAGCATTTTTTCTGAATATTCATTAAAAAGATTAATGTTTCTTCGAAAAGGACCAGTGAATAACATTGGATCCTAAAAAAAGCATGCTGAATTTCGATAATATTATATTTGATGTATCATACCTATAACAATACATAATTTAAAATCATAATTATTGTAAAAATTCTTCTAAAAATATAAGCATTTTTCAATATATATAAGCTGTACAAACAAAGTAAATATTGCAGAATGTCTTAAATACTGTCGTGTGTATGCGTTACCTTAGAACACTGAAGATTAGTCAATTGCAGGGTTACATAATTTTATATTCTTGTATTTGAATATCTAACAGAAATAGAAAGTTGGAGTCAGGACAGAAGTCATTTGTCTAGAATCAAGCGTTGGTTAAATCTTTTTATAAGAGTCAGACCACAATAAATTTATCAGCATCCGACTACTAACTTCGTGTTGACGTTTAATAAACTGTAAACGTTTTAAAATCCATTAATACCATTATCTTCACGTATATAATGTCAAAATACGCAAATTACGATTCTAATGTTAAATCTATTGTAATGAATATTTTTTTTATTAACTTTGATAGATAGAATATGAATAAAGTGAAACTGACTTTAATTACGTGTTAGAGATTATATATTAGAGGCTAGATTACTATATAAACAGTAACCAAAATACAGTTTAGTCCTGAAAACTGGAATTAATATAAGATGAAATAAATAAAATTCATTCTTGTAAAAATGTTTACTTCAACTTATTTCATTTACATTAAACAAACTACTAACTTACTAGTTGTATATTAGTGTATAGAATCGGGAATCGGAATCAGAGTCCGCATTTTGACCAAAAACACATATGTGTAAAATCTAGCATAAAACAGAAAGCGTAAAAATTTTGCTGAAATTTTAGCTGAAAAATAACTGAAAAAAGAGCATGTTTATACTTTTTACGCGCGTAAAATTTTTACGTCGAAATTTATCCAATAAAGAAGTTTTTTGTGTGACGTCAAAGTAAACACGTGGTTTTTGTTCTAATACTGGCGGTTAGTTTTTCTATTTAACGGTCTCCAAGAAACGAAAAGTAAATGAAATAGAAGACTTTATTGAATACGTTCGATTACATCAGTATCTTTATGACAAAAAACTGTCATGTATAAAGAAACTGTATTTAAACAATATTTATGGATGGATGAATCTAGGTGCTAAATTTTAAATAACTGGTAAGTCTAGTAGAATAGATATTTAGTATTTAAATCACACGTTTGGAATACAAGTCTATTAATTTAAATTTTCTAAATTATAAAAGAGGCAGAGGAGAAAAAAAATGGAAGGTTCAAAGGGAAAATTATATGAGAGGACAAAAATTAATAAAATGTAGCATTGTTAGTGGCAGTGGCATTTCCTCTTCGGCCTAATGTTTCTTCGAAAAGGACCAGTGAATAACATTGGATCCTAAAAAAAGCATGCTGAATTTCGATAATATTATATTTGATGTATCATACCTATAACAATACATAATTTAAAATCATAATTATTGTAAAAATTCTTCTAAAAATATAAGCATTTTTCAATATATATAAGCTGTACAAACAAAGTAAATATTGCAGAATGTCTTAAATACTGTCGTGTGTATGCGTTACCTTAGAACACTGAAGATTAGTCAATTGCAGGGTTACATAATTTTATATTCTTGTATTTGAATATCTAACAGAAATAGAAAGTTGGAGTCAGGACAGAAATCATTTGTCTAGAATCAAGCGTTGGTTAAATCTTTTTATAAGAGTCAGACCACAATAAATTTATCAGCATCCGACTACTAACTTCGTGTTGACGTTTAATAAACTGTAAACGTTTTAAAATCCATTAATACCATTATCTTCACGTATATAATGTCAAAATACGCAAATTACGATTCTAATGTTAAATCTATTGTAATGAATATTTTTTTTTATTAACTTTGATAGATAGAATATGAATAAAGTGAAACTGACTTTAATTACGTGTTAGAGATTATATATTAGAGGCTAGATTACTATATAAACAGTAACCAAAATACAGTTTAGTCCTGAAAACTGGAATTAATATAAGATGAAATAAATAAAATTCATTCTTGTAAAAATGTTTACTTCAACTTATTTCATTTACATTAAACAAACTACTAACTTACTAGTTGTATATTAGTGTATAGAATTGGGAATCGGAATCAGAGTCCGCATTTTGACCAAAAACACATATGTGTAAAATCTAGCATAAAACAGAAAGCGTAAAAATTTTGCTGAAATTTTAGCTGAAAAATAACTGAAAAAAGAGCATGTTTATACTTTTTACGCGCGTAAAATTTTTACGTCGAAATTCATCCAATAAAGGAGTTTTTTGTGTGACGTCAAAGTAAACACGTGGTTTTTGTTCTAATACTGGCGGTTAGTTTTTCCATTGTAACGGTCACCCAGAAACGAAAAGTAAATGAAATAGAAGACTTTATTGAATACGTTCGATTACATCAGTATCTTTATGACAAAAAACTGTCATGTATAAAGAAACTGTATTTAAACAATATTTATGGATGGATGGATCTAGGTGCTAAATTTTAAATAACTGGTAAGTCTAGTAGAATAGATATATAGTATTTAAATCACACGTTTGGAATACAAGTCTATTAATTTAGATTTTCTAAATTATAAAAGAGGCAGAGGAGAAAAAAAAATGGAAGGTTCAAAGGGAAAATTATATGAGAGGACAAAAATTAATAAAATGTAGCATTGTTAGTGGCAGTGGCATTTCCTCTTCGGCCAGAATGAATTTCTCATGCAAAAAGAGTTTTTCGAAAAGCCGAACATTGCGTACACTAAAGTCTTTTTAAGACCCACTTCAACAGCCATATGTATTTAAGTGTATTCTGTGTTTTACGGTACACAAAATGCCTGTTACAGCAACAGTTTGTCTATATAGTGTTCTAGCTTGCCGAAGATATTCTATAGAATTTTTAAGTTTCACTTAACTACGGAGAAATTATCTAGATGCTTATCAACTGCATCGATAGAATAATGCAAAGCAACTCGTAGGCAATTGTCAAACGGGAATGGCATCTAGACAAGATGTTCTACGAGAAATTAGCCTGTATTTTGTGTTAAAAAACTAAAGAAAACACACATAATTCTATTTTATGAGTCTTGTAATGAGCACCAACAAATATTCTATGGTTTTGTATTGTCAACCACAAGAAGATACTCGTTAATAAAAAAAGAATATTACCCATACATTATTTTACTTTCATTTTTTTAAACATTCGATAACACTATAGAAATTAAAAATAACAGCATCATAGTATGACAATGACCTAAGTTTATGAAATAGTTATCAAGTCTTGCCCGACAAAGATACAGTGTTAGATAACATTACAGTTTATTAGACAGAGCTAACAGTGGTAAGAAGAAAAGAAGAAAAATGTTGAACATGACATATTTAAGTAATCAAATATACAAAATTCAAAAGAAAGTGTCAGAATTATTAAGTATGTTCCAGATATGAAATCCAATAGAATTGAAATTAATATTTGAATTATTTGGTTATGGCAACGCGACACGTTGACAATCTACCAATAAGACATACCTCAAGTGAGGACTTTTATGGAAACCTGGCTCCTATTTACAGTAGGTGTTAATTGCATTGAAGAATTTCGAAAATAAATAAAACATTTATTTGTTGAATATAAAACATTCGAATGACTAGTTTTTGAATATGTTGGAATAACAACAGAATTTCATTGTTAAGAATGTAAAATAAATGCAAAATTACATTACCGAAATGTTATGTCAGGGGTGGCCAACAGTTTTTGCCATCAGGCCGAATTGGAAAGAAAACTTTTTCCACCGGCCGAACCAGAGACTGCCCTAGGAAGATTTTGAGGTTGTGCGTGATCTCATTGTGGTGTCACCCCGTAGAGACTAAATTGTAGATAGAGGTTACAGATACATTTTTCACATTATCATGCTTTATCAACACTACGCTGTTCTTACGAGATTTATAATAGAGGGTTAACTCTAAACGCACAGTGAGTCGTTGACCTACTTTTTTTTAGGCGTCAGAATTTTTTTTTATCGAGCTATTCGGACTTCAGTACCTAATATTGAAAGATTGAAAGATTGATTGCGGCTCACATAAATTTATTACACGGGCCGTATGTTGGCCACGCCTGTGCTATGTGCAATATCATAACCTAATTAAACGTTTTTATATACACAGTGTTTGAATTTCTTAAATATTTGGTGAAATAATGAAATTTATGCTAATAGTGTCAATAGTACAAAATATGCTAACAAGAAATAAATGTCATTGATTAATTAATATTTGTATTCGTTTACTTGAGGAATGATCGATATTTTACTACGTAGATCCCGAAGACCTATATCCTTAGTTTCAACACCATCTATGTATATCGTCCCTGTTGGTTCTGTCATACGAAATAAAGCAGTAATTATTGAACTTTTTCCAGCTCCTGTACGTCCAACAATTCCTATCTGGAATAAAAATAAATCATTAAGTATAAAACGGTATTTCTCTAAAAAGTGATTAGTAAAATTCTTCACAATATACACATCACTTACTTTTTCTCCTGAATAAATACGGAATGTTAAGTTATTTAAAACAATATTTTTATCTTTCGAGTATTGCAAAGATACATTCTTAAATTCAATTTCTCCTGTACGTGGCCAATCTGTGGGCGGTTGTTTGTCAGTGGAAGAGTTGTATGCTGCTTCCGATTTTAAATTGCTGTAATTTAGTATACGAGCAACAGAATTCATCTAAAAAATCGAAAGTATATGAGATAACATGAAATATTTGTTTACTAATAAACTGTAAAAATCTGAAAATTTATAGCAATATTTATATTATTATGATTGAATAATATTCCTGTTTTTCATGTCTTGTACATCTTACTATCATGTTGTTATATTTTTAAGAGATAAGATGTAGAATAACTATTTAATGTATAGTATAGCATAGAGATAGAATTAGAAGACCGAAAGGCATGACGAACAATAGTCACAAGAGCAAACAAACAACATACTATGTAATGATTATGATTGATATTGTCGTCATGCAGAGTCTTTTAATATTACTTTAATGTTTCACTATACACATATAACATTTGTTCTTTTCATATAAAATATGAACTTTATTCTAGATAATTAAATCGAAATAGAATGTGATATGATTATTGTTCTTTCTTTGAAAGTCTAATTGATAGATAATTCAGGAAGAATTTCCAATGTTACTTTACAATAACAGAACTGCACTGTAGATATCAGACACGAAAAATTCCGATGTTTCCAGCTGAATAGTAATATTCGAATTTGTGACCAATTACTAGCGTTAATTAGCTTTATCGACTTCATCTCTGATTGCCCATAGTTGTCTAATAATAAATATTAACGTAAAAAATAAAATTACCTGATATTCTGTTTCTGAAGATTGCTTTATAATCCAATGAAAATGCAAAAATATCATTATTCCGTAATTGATAACAAGTCCTAGTTTGATTCCTGCATCATCTGTAAATTGAATAGTGATAAAAATTTATTAAATTGTAAAATTTAGGATGTTGGATATATTCACTTACCAGTATTTACGAAAACAATCATAACAATAACAGTAACAATTAAATATATATAACAAATTATTTGACCGTATAAACAATTCCATCGATTTAAACACACGTATAAGAACCATGTTGCAGTGTGTCTGTCCTGATATTCATTAAACGTAGATTTAAATTTGTTTTCAGCATTAAATGCTCTGATTGTTGTAAGTCCGTACAGAGTTACACTCAGATGAGAAAATACCGGGCTTCTCGCTGTAAAAATAAATTTGTTACATAATGTTTATCAAATGATTCATTCATATAATAATTATTTCTCAGGATTTAGAGAAATTCACTAAATTAGAAAATTAAGTATTAAAATGTTCCTGTTATATCATTAAGCACAATGAACTTTAATTCATAAATACATACATTTTCCTTCCAGATACTTTATGCTATTCAAAACGTTGTTATGAGTAGTCCACAAAACATAAAATGAGATCAAGAGAAAGAATGTCATTATTAGGAAATAAGGACAGATTAACGCTTCAATTACAGTTATTCCGATACAGAAGCCAGATGCCTGAAATTATAAAATCATTATGGAATGCTCATGTTTTCCTCTATATTCAAATAATTATTTTTATTTACACCTGAAAAAATTTTATGCTAATATGAAAAAATAAACGCTTATAGAATACGAAAAGTAATTAAAAACACGATAAATTTACCATTATTAACTAACTCTAGTTACATTTTTGAATAGGAATAGATTAATGGATACGGTAATGCAACAATTAAATGATCTGTCATAAAGTTATGTTTCAGGGACGATTTTCAATAAAAATCTAGCTCTATTTACGTGTTAGACCTCAATAAAACAGAAAAAGTACACGGAGGTCATCCCTAGGTGAGGTGCAAACCTTTAAGTTTGTGTTCAGTAATTTTATGCATTCGTCCTACTTCAGGTGCATCCCGTAACGTTAAAGATATTGTATAAAATAATTTACACAAAAAATTTCATATGTTATTTATTTCTAGTACAGTTGTCCCTTGATAATCTGACAGGTATGGGACCAAATGGATTACCAAAAGTGATTACATATTTGGCCTTGTTTTGCTAGCAGTAGCCTCCAATATTCCCTACTCCAACTGTTCAAACAGAACTGCTCACGGAAAACACAAGAAATGTGTGTCATTGTGTAAGAATTGAGTGGGGAGATTCATGTCGCGACATGCTTCTGTGCAAGCAGACACGTAACGGGGAAGGGGGCTACAGTGACCTTGACGGGAGGTGTTCGGACTATATATTTATTCTTATGAGTATATTTATTCTTTTATGAGTATAAATTTAAATAATAATAGTATTTTCTTATGACAGAAAACAATTCTCAACAACTAAGTTAATTAATCGTCTAAAGTTCAATATCCCAAAAATATAAAAGAGTGTTGAAATTTCTAGAGGTGAACAGAGGTGAAAATCACTCTCCAAGAGCAATTGCCAAGAAATTAAATCCTTAATCCGATGTAATCGAAAACGATACATTACAGTGGATTACAGATCAATACAGGCAAACGAAATCAACAGGACGTTCTTCAAAATTTAAAAATAATAAAACAAACCATTGTTTACCAGATTGCTAAGCAACAAAATATTATTTCGGAACTTTGCAAGAAAACCCGTTCAAAACACGTGTAGAGGTGTAACCTACTTAGTGTCATCACGTTGAACCTTACAGCTGTAGTCACTACTAAGCTTCATAAGGAACTCTTTCCCTGCCCACGCCTATTGGCACTACAGAATTAAAGAGACTATGCCTTATTCATCTGCTCGGTCTGATACCTGACACGGTAGACAGGGACAACATAGCTGGGCCACATGGTACGTCTTTCGGGCTCCCATCCGCACCCAGGCCCAGCCCTATAATCTGGCATAACTTTTGTATATTGTGCAGCCTGTTCTGCACTTTTGGTCCACAATACTAAACTTTTATAGCTCACAAACTTATACTTTACAGTATAGACACATAAAGTTACGGGCAGTGGGGTCCCCTTTTTTACAAGAAGAAGTGGCCCAGCCTAGCGCATCTACTAGGCAGGCGAATCATAGATTTATGATCCTTTCCATCAATTCCTTTAGTTTCTTTAAGTTTCCTTTATTAGCTGCTAGCCTTCGAAGTACTTGTTCAGGCAGCCTAGACAAGTCGACTTGGTCGGCCCCTCGGCGGAAATCCTCGATAAGAGGACAGTCAAGTAGGTAGTGTCTCGTGTCATCGCGAGGACACCCACAGGAGCAGCTACCATCTCCCTGTCCGAATCTGGACATGAAGTGGTGAAACCTCCCGCGGCTGGTCAGTATCTGGGTCGTGAGCCAGTTGCAACACACCAGAGTGAGGCCAACTACAGGCACGAAGGCATAGGTTAGCCTACCTGCTGTACTTTGAGTCCAGCGTTCTTGCCAGTTGGTCATCGATCGTTTCAGCAAAGTGCCTTTAATATAAGTAGCCGAGGGTTCCACCGTCCTCGTTATAAATGGGCCACTAGCTCCTGCCTTTGCCAGCTGATCGACACGTTCGTTACCCAAGATCCCGATGTGGCCACGGACCTACCGCAGGGCAGTGTGTCGTTCGTGCCTTGCCCTCAGCACCATACTTCTGATCTCATGTACCAGCGAATCGCGATGGTACCCGTCGTTCAAATCTTGTAGCGACGATTGGTTATCAGAGTAAACCGTGACTGGCTCTGGACCTGGATGTAATAGGATCCACTGGGACGTCCCCTCCAGTGCCATCAGTTCTGCCTGGAACACGATCGCCTCCTCGTTCAATCTGACTGACTGTTCGTACACTTGCACCCTGTCACAGAAGACGCAGTACGCGGCACCTACTAAGGTGCCATCTTTTGAGCCATCGGTGTATATTTCAACACCCATACCAGTCGGTTCACCGACATCCCAGTCGAGTCCGATCCCCTTTGGGCCGGATGGACTTTAAAGACATCTACACAGTGCCTAAGCCTGACTGGGTACTTCCGGTTACAATGCATAGCCTCTATTCCTTGTACTGTGGTCCTGTAGAAGGCCGCTTCTTCGCTGACAACCAAGGGCAGCGGAAGCAGCCCGGCCAAGACCAGGGCTGCCTCCGTGGACATAGATCTATATGCTCTCGTGATCTGCAGGGCAGCGATTCGCTGAATCGTGAGCAGCGTCCTGCTCTGTTTGACATTGGCAGAATCTTTCCACTATACACCACAGGCATAGCAGACGACGAGCTCTACGCTCATCTTATAGATGGCTCGGAGCGCTTCTCCGCTTAGGCCGTAATCCTGTCTTGCTAGTCTCGATAGTGCCGCTATCATGAGGTTTGTTTTCTCGCGAACGTTCCTCAGATGGGGCGTCCAGCATAATGTCTGATCGATGGTAACACCGAGATACTTAAGCTCGTCCTCCCTTCTGATGGGCTTTCTTTGGATCTGGTATATCGGTCGGCGAGCCAACACTCCAGTCTGGGCCACCGTCAGGGACTCCGATTTCTTGGGGCTTAATGAGAGCTTGTGCAGCTCCCCTGTAGTAACTACTGGCTTGATTTGAGAATGAAGAAAGCTCTATATTTGAAATGATAACAAGCAGGAAGGTAAATTTTGGTGTACAGTTATTTTAGTTGGCAAGAAAACTTCCTATTCTCTTTTTTCGAAAGCGTACAAAAGCCAATGATTATCAGGACATGTTGAAGGACAATCTCCATTTTTCACAGAGCGAACTTTATGTATGAATGGTTTTTGGCTAATGGACTGTCAATTATTAATTGATCAGATCTATCCCCTTCCTTAATGCAGAATTTTCGAGATTCTGGCTAGAGCTGTGTACGTAAATAAGCAGCAGTATAGTGTGGAGTAACTAAAAGAAACGATAATGTCTCACTGGAAAAAAATAAGCGCATCTGTCTTCCAAAAACTCATAAATTCAATGCCAACCACATTTGGAAAGTCATTTTAGCCAAAGGAGTTTTCATTGGATATTAGTTTGTTGTTAATTATAATATCTGAACGTGTTGTCAATTGTTTCAATTAATTTTGTTATATGGTTTTATATTGTTTGTAGAGTAAAAATTTGTTATGTCTAATTACACGGTTATCATTTTATATGACTATTTAAAAGTTAAAACAAGCCGAAAATGACTATTTTTGCAAAGTTTTTAGTGTAAATATATTTATACTAAAATCTAGTAGTATCTTTACCTCTATGAGACAGACATGAATATATTGGTAATATACAGCAAGAAATAAATAAACTTTATTAAAGATGTCATTAAAGATTTTTAGTTATTTATATCTTTATTTAACTACGCTAATATATTTGTGTTATATACAAATTACTGTTACTACTCGAAAATAAAATTAATGGAAACTTACTCTTATGGCTTCGTAGAAAACAAATGTCAGCATATCATCCATGTTATTAACATCTTTCGAAAATCGGTTCAGAATTTTTCCTAAAATGTCACAAGATTTATAACTTTAATTGTAACAAATAAAACTGTCATAATTATTCACGTTACTTTAGAATGAATACAGTGTTTGGCAATTACAACTACAAATAATCATACAAATTTATTTAACTGAAATGTTTCCATGCAGTTTTTTTTTATGAATACAAACTTTTAATGTTTTATAACCAAACTTTTAATACTACTCGATATGCATGCTTCTAATCATGTGTAGTACGAAGAAATATACTAAATTCCTCTTTCGATGAAATATACTTATATCTTCTGATACACCTCTATCATGAAAAATTCTGAGAAATTCTTACTCATGAAAATATTTTGATTTCGGACTTTTGTGTTAATCAGTATGTTCTAGCATAACCAGAAACAATATTTAAAACTGATAAATATATTTTACGTACCTATAGGATTGTCGTCCATAAATGATATTGGCGTATGAATAATACAGCGAAGCATGTTATTATGAAGGTTAATAGATGCAGAGGCGAACATTTCGTACAACAATGAAGCAGAAATTAATGTAACGAAAAATACAGCACAAACCAAGCCCAAATAAATGTATATGTTGATTTCTAGAACATGGAAATCGATAGATTCCGTGTTGTTAATTGTCTCTAATTTTGACGTAAAATTTTTCAATTGTAAATTTTCAATGTAGTTTTTGTTATCTTGTAACCTGAAAATTAATAATTAAATAATTTTTTATTTCAGAAAATATATCAGAATTTTTTTAACAGAGTAGATTACGAGCAAACCATTAATAACAACACGTAATAAGTTATTAATTAAACTGTTTACAATATAATACAGCAAACTGTAAGGTTTATTCTTAAAAGCATGGATGCTCTGCATTCCAATTCGCTCAAATCTTTTTATTAGTAATATAGGTTTGAGATAAAATCGCAATTCCCTACTCATGTTCTGTGACTAGTTTTTAGTTACATGAGTAGTGATGTGAACTTACAATAACGTGTAGTATGAAGTGACTCAGTAAAATGCTTCAATGAACAAGTTCCTAACACGTAAAATTTCAAGCAAGTTGTCTTGCTACTGGTATAACTCGAAATGGAACCACAGTTAACTTATGGAATAATTATGTAGTATTCTGTATAATTGCTTGACATTTTGTTACTCTGTTCATACATTATTTAATACTATTTTTATACTTTTTAACTTTCATCACAACCCGATTGGTAATGTTGAGCGTGACAATATGCCACAGTGTTACTGAGGGTTACTTAGTAACTCTGTGGCATATTGTCCCGCTCAACATTACCTACCCCAACTTTCACATCCCTCTTTGTACTAAGAATATTATACTAATTGATAAAAAAGCGCGATTTGTTTTATTATTTATCCTAATTTTAATCTCATTCCCCATATGACATATAGCCTACTTCCATACTCTGAAGTTTCCATGCTGCATTTCTCTGCAGTTTCATGTTTAATTTGATTCTTTCCCGCATTTGCTTTTATTCTAATATAGTAAATGCTTAATCACAGGTTAAAAATATGCATTTATTTGTGGAAATTACATTGAAATTGTGATAAATTGTGTCTGAAAATGGTCGTATATTTAGTATTCTGTTATTCTTTGAATGTCATATATTAAAATTAAAAACTTTATACAGATAACAGAAGAACAAAAGTAGCAAATTATCATTCGTTGTTCGTGTAAATGCAGTAATAATTTTGTACGTTATTTCTGTTTAGTGCGTGAATATTCAAGAGTATCTTTTTCAGGAAAGTGATTTTTCGTAAAATATCTTACATTTTGCTAAATTCATCATTAAAATTATTATTTTAAATGATACTTCGCTATTGAAAATTTAACTTAATTACAGTAAAAGTCATACCATTTAATGAGCCAATAATCGCTAAAACTGAGTAGAGTCTGCGATAGAATTAGCATGAAAAGTATAAGTATCTTGAAGAGTAAACCTGCTCCGGCATTCATATATGCTTTATAAACAGATATTCCAGCTATTCGAAGTTGGTCATTCTTGTTGGATATTTCATTACATGTTGTTTTCTACAAACAGTAATACTTTGAAAAATATATATCAACGATTCATAATAATAAGTATTTATTTAAGTTGCTAGCCAGAGTGGCCGAGTTAGTTAAGGTGTCAATATACCAATCTGGAGGTCACTACTCTCATTGAATGGCAAAATTAAACCATGTGTTTTGTGAGGTGATCTGACCCTCATCATTCAGTTTCACCCTCGTGGACCTGGCTGTACTTAAGATTAGCTTGAAGCAAAGCGCTGATAAAGAGTTAATATATATAGACTATATTAGCTAAATTTTTTGATTCTTTGTGGATTACTTTATTGACTCTGCCTTTTAACTGTTTTCACTCCTGTATATATCTATATCTATATATATTTAGAAAACATGTCTGTTATGTAAAAACAACAAGAATGGACTTCATGATACATTGATATATCATGAAGTGTTTTATGATATATGAATATATAAATATATAATTGTTTAATGTAAATAAAATCACAAGTCGTTGTTATTATGTGTCAAACTGACTTTCAAGAAATTATTCGGAAACTTTCTATGAGTAACTGACTGCTACTTAAGTGTCACATATATAAAAGCCAGGAAAACGTTTCGTGGACAGATCATTGGTAAGGCAAGAATCCTACAACTAGTGTTTGTAGTTTTACTTACTCGGCCTCTCACTGGCACAAAACAATAAGAAAATTAACAATAAAGATATAATTAACAAATGCATTTAAATATTTTACCAGCCGTGACTTACTAGGTCATTATCAATATTTTCAATGGGATAAATCGTGCCAACTTGTATATTGTAAAATGCTTCTTCTTCTTTAAAAGAAACGTTTGATAGTTCTATCTTTTGCTCCGAAGTTTCTTTGTCTAATACAATTCCTGTATAATTTTCTACGTTTTTCAATTCATTATACTTACCAAGAGCTTCACATTTTCCCTAAGATAAAAATCATGTTAACAATTTTTGTACTGTATATTTATAGGTTAAATACATTATTTTTATAAATAAATTAAAATAAAAATATATTTATATTTACATGTAAGTTACATAATATCTATTTCTATGTTTTCTATCTATTTAAACGTTTTCTATGCTTGCCAAATTAATATCAAACTTTTTATGTGGTGACAAAATTTTCGAATTTCTCCTCTAGTAATAAAATGTTAGAAAACAATGATTCATTGTTTTTCTTATATACTACTGTTTTTTAAAAAAATATATTTATTAACATTACTCACCTTGTTTAAAACTAAAACCTTAGTTGCGAAATTTAAAAATTGTATTTGGTGTGTAACTAAAATGCAAATTTTGTCTTTCAAATATTCGATTATACACCTGAAAAAAGACAACTATTAAAAATATAAACATTTCTACAGGTTTAAAAATATAATTTGAGTACTCACTTTTCGAATATCTCTTTTGCTACTGGAACATCAACAGCACTCAGTGGATCATCAAGAAGGAAAATATCTGCATCTACATATAATGCTCTGAAAAACGTAAAATATTCCATTCTGTACAAATAAAGAATGGAAAGTGTATGTCAAAACATTTTTTATTAAATTTTAGGTACTTATACAGGATGTTTTATAAGTCTGGCTTACAGATTAAATTTACGTGTTTTTATTGTTTCCAAGTAAAGCATCGCACTAAGTAAGAAGTAACTAACCTTATCTCAGTTGAATTACACCGTCACATTATATTTTAGATTAACTTACATATATTTGCAGTAAAAGTTGCATACAATACACGATTAAACTTACCTTGCTAAATTAATTCTTGCTTTCTGCCCACCACTCATGATCACTCCTCTTTCCCCTACAAGTGTCAAATCTTTTTTAGGAAATAAACGTATATCCTGAAATAAAATGAAATGAAAATAAAACAACAATATTATTATCTCATATAATATTTNATTATTGGGTTGGATTAGGAAGGACAATGTCTTCAAATGATTAATTAAAGTATTGGGTTTTTATTGCTGTTTCTTTTGGCCATGGTATAACCTTGCGCGCAATAGCATTTTACTAAGAGGCAATACGAGAACGACTTGTATTTACAATTATGTGTTAACAATTTTACAATCTGTTGTAATTACATGTGATCGTCCAATTACATATTTTTACAGCAAGTGTCGTTTACTGAGTCTCGTAATAAAAGATGTGTGCAGGTCAAATCACATGTGTGAGGCAGTAAACAACACATGCGGGTCGAATTACACATTAGCTATAAGCGCAGTTGACAGCTAGCAACACAACCTCAAGATGGCTAGTTGTAATGGAACGTTATCATAATGTTTTTACAGCCATGATTGAATTGACGAAATATTTTTCCTTTCACTGATATTTTTCCGGAAATAACAGGAATTTCGCCTAATAGTGACATCAATAAAGATGTCTAATGAAAAAAATTATATAATAATAATCTTTATATTTAACCTGAGTTTATAAATTGCTTATTCAGAAATGTATTTATTATTTACCATTAAGAACTAAATTCATTGTTTTACATTACATATATATATATATACAGTCACCCCCCTATAACACGGTAGATACGTTCCTGTTTTTAGGAATCCATTTCTTACGAGTCCAGCCAATCATAGCCCGGCACGTATGCAGTTTACGGCCTACGGCTGTTTGAAAAGTTTCTTCCATAAAATTAACCGATTCTAGACTAATTCGACTCAACATTTCCAAAATACGTATAATTTTTTGGGAATATTCCATATAAACTATGCTATAAACAAAAAATTATAGGATTACTTACCAAGTGTGCACCGTTCAACTACGTCGTTGCTTAAGCTTGTTTTCGTCGCGGAGATTGTCATCGAATGGCGCTCGCGTGCTTCCTGATAAATTATTTTTTTTGCGAAAAATTCGCTAAACTTTGAAGACATCATTAATATAAATATAATTTTTATGGACGTTAAATAATAAATTGTTTTTAGTAGGTCTGGTGCTCGTTTAAACTCAACGGTTTGTGCAATCCTGTCGTGACACGACTCGGCGATGACGTTTTACCGAATTATAACAGTTTTTTACACTTTTGTACAAATACTGGCGCATTTTTTTCGCCGTGATATAGGAATCCGAACTATAGGAACCCGTGTTATAGAGGGATCGACTGTATATGTAATTCTAAACAATTCAGAATTTAATTTTAGAGCGACGGCTTTGTGTTTGTTTTAACCTGTGCATCGATGATAATGGAAATCTAATTGAAAATATCTTTGACTAAAAGTAAATACATATGTCAACTTATTTAGTCTTTATAGCCACCCTGTATTGTACTGATTTATGTAAAAATTACTTATTCATTCAATTATTTATTCAATGAAATAGTATTATTTGAATTAATTAACCAGTAAGAAATATGTTTTACCATACGTTCTACCTACAACATATTAATATGATGATCCGCTGTAAATATCATAAGAAATCTACACTGATAGTTTTATCTTTAAACATGGTTAAAGATCATAGTATTGTAATTTACATTACACAGCCAAATGACAGAAGCAGTTACAATGTCATCCTATCGCTCTGAAAGGTCCTGAATAGCATCCAATCAGTCAGAAAAGCCTGAGAAAATTTTCAATGGGCTATCTGATATACATATACGTTGAGTTTGACCCTCACTTCTTAATTCCCTACAAAAACACAAGCGTAATCCATCGATGGATTTGACCAAAAGCGCTTTTTAAGAAAGAAAAAAACAGACGTTTTACTATATCTGTTAATTTCCGAAGGAAATTTTCGTTATTTAACATATATCATTATGGAAATTACTATAAAATAACTTAAAATAAAGTAAAATTTGTTTATTTTTGGTCGCGTTGTTCTCCTTTCCCTATTTACTCTACTTTAAAATGAGCTTGTTTGACGCTGTTTTGTTTAGCTCTTTGTCGTCTAGAAACGCATCCTCTGCATTAAGCGGGGTCTTACTGTACTTACATTGGAATCATCCAGTATAGTGTCATTTGTACCCATGTAGAAATTTCGGTATTTTACCGACATTGACAATAGTTTCAATATTAGTCAAATTATTTCAGCCATATAATTACAGTGGAAGTTAGTCTAACATTGAAAAATATAAAAAAATCCAGTTCAACATTGCTGAAATTTAAGTACAATTCTAGAGCAGTCAAAGAATAACACTACACGAGTGTGAATCCCTTATTATAATATTTTGTTTAAGGTTTAATAGCTTAAAAAGTAAATGAAAAATGAAAAGTAAAAAGTATGATTTGTTTTGAACGCCATACGTTGATAGACGATTTTTATCATCAAATTCACATTAAACCAAATTATTGGGTTTGATTAGGAAGGACAATGTCTTCAAATGATTAATTAAAGTATTGGGTTTTTATTGCTGTTTCTTTTGGCCATGGTATAACTTTGCGCGCAATAGCATTTTACTAAGAGGCAATACGAGAACGACTTGTATTTACAATTATGTGTTAACAATTTTACAATCTGTTGTAATTACATGTGATCGTCCAATTACATATTTTTACAGCAAGTGTCGTTTACTGAGTCTCGTAATAAAAGATGTGTGCAGGTCAAATCACATGTGTGAGGCAGTAAACAACACATGCGGGTCGAATTACACATTAGCTATAAGCGCAGTTGACAGCTAGCAACACAACCTCAAGATGGCTAGTTGTAATGGAACGTTATCATAATGTTTTTACAGCCATGATTGAATTGACGAAAATTTTGCTAGTGATAAAACAGAACAGGACCCAAATTATTCTGAAAACGAGAGTGACTTGGAACCAAGTGAATCAATCAATTCAGATATATCAGATACGTGTGCCGGGATGTGAACGGCACACGTACTAGTAAAATCTAAGTGACTCGTACAACATGAAATTCATATGAAACGGAATTATCAACAGTGTTATAGGGGGTCTACTGTAATAAATCTGGCATAATTACTTTGAACTTCCAGACTTCGAATGCTATATTCCAGAGAAATTAGATTCAATGTTTGAACAATGCTTCTATGTTTATACTGCATACTCAGTGAAAAAATCCCTTCCCTGCATAAATGCCATCCGTTCTGCCTGCAACTTATCTATCAATATTTTTATCGATTTGAAAGCATCTTTTCTTACGCTCGTGTGTTATCAATACTTTTCCCTATATATCTTAAGAAAAAGGACATAAGCACACCAACAGTGAATGGAATTTTGATTTTATTATAAAGAACGTACGTGTTTTAATTGCTTTTATTGTGTACAGTATTACTCAGGGTATTTATTTTTTTTTATTGACTCTGAACTACGTGTTTAATTTTTCAAAAAACCTCTTAGAACAAATTAATTAAAACGGTAGTTTCAGATACCAGTCTAATGAGTACATTACGTAAAAATTAATATTTTATTTTACGTATATTAAAAATATTCTTTATACAGTAAATATTGAAAAATATAAAAATAAAAATTCAAGATATGTACTGTACCTTTCCTGATCCAACAGGACCGATAACAGTTAATAATTCTCCAGGCTGTACCTTTAACGATATGCCATCTAATGTTGGTTCGGCTTCCTTAAAAACAATAAAATTTATAATACATTATTTAGAAACGTGTCTTTAGTTATACGTAGTAAAATTTATTTTTTACGCTACTAAAGTTAGAATACATTAATAGGATATAGGAGTAAAAATAATCTAATATTTACTACCTGTTATTTCTGTCTATAAGCTTTAATTTTCTGAATATACATTTAAAATCAAAATGATCTAATGATAAATATAATTATAGATAGTTTTACTTCAAAATCGAACGTGCTAAGTTTGCTATATTTTTATTTATCATGAAATAAATAAAATATCTCCGAATAATTGTCTTAAACCATGTTCAAATGCATCAAAAATCGTATTTAATTACAAACAGGAAATACACGTAACAAATAATAAGTGCTTTTTCAGTAATGACAGGTGTACGAGAAATAAGCAACTTTGGTTACTACACTTCTATAAAACACAATTCATTCTCAGGTTTACTATGAAATAATTAAATATTATCAGAAAAGGTTCAATATATCTAGGAGAGACTGCCATTAAATAATACTCAAGGTTTTCATCTGGACTCAAACTTGAGCCTTACCAACTGGAAGCTTTTTGTATGTTGATTATTGAAACATTAAACATCACAGAAAAATTAATAAGAACAGAAGCTCAATAGACAGCAAATTGCATTGTTTTTATCAGAAGTGTTTTCTCAACTTCTAAACGAAGATAATGTAAACTTCATGTAAATTAGCAGTGAAGTCACAGTTTGACAGAAGTATGGAGGGGCGAATTCGGATCTAGTGCAATGTCCTATTATATACCTGAGCTATGTATTTACGTTGCCTGTGTGTTTTGGAAGGTATATAACATGATCTACGAAAAATCACGCGACTTACACCGGATCAATCATAAGCAAATTTATATAAAGTTCCCTTCGTTCTTCCTGCTATATACTTTATTATACTTACTACACTGTTGCCAATAGCATTTTTAAGTGTACAAAACAAATACAAATACACCGTAACAAAGATACAAAAAGAACAATTAACAATACAAAACTAAACTAAAGTTTTGTTCTGTGTAACTTGAAACTGTTTCAACGCGAAGTTTGAAGCTGTACATCGTATGGAAATTCCAGATGTTAATTAATTTAGGTTCCATACGTATAAGAGAATACTATCTTCAAGTTTAGGTATCTCTAAATTTGTAAGTATTCTAATAAATTTGATTAAGGATAATGCAAGAGTATTTATGCGAATGTGTCATAGAGAGTGTCATGTATTTCGGTATCTAGATATTTTACGCTTATCCCTTTATAAACTTATTATCTTTTTCAAAATTGATTGCCATTCAGGTAATGCACTGGCGTTGAAATAATTTGAAGTCCACAGATCAAAAATAGTAACTGGAATTTGTAGCGAAATGTTAGCAAATATTGATATTAATTTTGTAATGTCTAGTAGTGTGAGGGTGTACTCGCTGTATACACGACTTTCTGTATGGATTCATGCGATGCGGGACTTTTTAAAACTGTGAGTTAAATAAATGAGAATGGAAAATCACGGAACGGTCGGTGCTAGGTCTCAGGTTCGCGCATGATAGCAGAATTAAACCTATACTTCTTGTATAGCTGCTTTATTGAAGGTCTTTCAATCATGCAGTTCATAATATTTAAGATGTAGCAACAATGAAAACAATAAATTAAACTATCCATTTTTTCATAGTTGCTACACCTTCAATAATATATATTAAATAATAGAAATTAAAACAGTTATTATGGAAACTGCAGAGTTAATGTAGAGACACAAAACTTACTTTATTCCACGCAGCTTGAACTCTTTCCATCCATATACCAAATTCGATTAATTTTGGTCGTTTTTCTACCAGTTTGACTGAACTGTTATTTTTTCCTTGGAGTAAGAGAAAGTTCTAAATAGAAACGCCAAAATATTAATTTTACTAACCATTTGAAAATAAGGCAAGTTCTAGATTCTATGAGACATAATATAATATATATACATTGCATCATAAAAATATTACTACAAAATGTATGAACATTTTTACATTACATTCAAAACACTCACGTTTTCGTGTTATATAAATGTATTTCCATTTCATTTCTACATAGATTCTAATTGTTTTTAATAATTTTTTCATGGATGATTGCAAAACTCGATATCTCAAGTAACACTTCTTTACTAATGTTCAACATTATATGTAAAATTCTGTTATGATCTAATTGAAAGTGACTCACCTGAATTCTCTTCAATGAAATAAAAATCTCTGCAACGACATTAATTGCTACAGAAAACAGCACAATAGTACTCAAGTAAATGTATATCGAAAAATTCATAGTGACAAAGACGATGTGAGCTGTTAATTGACCACCAAGTAAAACAATTGATAAAAAGATAAGAGAAGAAAATAATCTTGATAAAGGATAACCCAATATTAATGATATCCCTCGAATGTATATAAACATTTTAATCTTTTTCATTTCTTGGCTGCAAATATAAATAAAATTAAATATAAATTATTGTAATAAATAATGAAAATATTTATTTATGCTTACATTCTGATTTTCTCTATTAACGCAGCATATGGCAATTCCCAAGTGTACATTTTAATTAATCTCATACCAGCGATCATCTCATTCAACAGATTCAATCGTTTGTCTCCCAATATAGCTGCTTGTAATCTAACAATATGTAAATATATTCATAATCAGATATATAATGGGTTTAGTGTGAAAATGTTAGATATCTTAGAAAGTATATATTGGACAAGTGCTATAGGTAATGTTGTACGACACAAAATGTGGATAAATGCGTTTACGGTGAAAGTTTTATTGGAAGCTGACTTCTGTTGTACAATAAGATTAGTGATAAAATCATACTATAATTAACTTTTGGAAATTCTGATGTTAATCCAAGTTTATAAAAATTTGCAAGTGTTCTGAATAACAACAAAAATACTTTCACTTCGATGGCACTTTATAATACACATTTTTTATTGCAGTATATAAAGATTGATATCTATTTAAACTTTATATAAAAATTTTCACCAGATCTATATATATCACCCATTCAACGCGTGTCTGTCCGCGTAACGGTATGCCGAAAACGAGCATTAGAGGCTTCCTACCGATGATTTTAAATTAACAATAAATTATTTTTATTTGTAATAGAAATTTTATGCCTTGCCTTATTATATGACTTGATTAACCTTGCGCTACACGTCTAGAACATCCCGTGACTTTTAGTGAACGTCGTGCATTGACTCACGGGAAATTTCTTGAAAAAATGGCGGATACATTTAAAATCGAGGTTTACAAGCGAAGGAAAGTAAAGCCGAGTGGACTCCGTCTCCGCTTCATGGTGGTGACCAGATCCTAAACACCGGAGTTCGATCGGGGGTTCGCGCCTCACTCGGACGAGCTGGCAGCAGGAGTTTTTCCGGGTTTTCCTCCTTGCCAATGACGCCTAAATAGGGGCCAGCTTCCCCTCCAAGTCCTCCCGGAAAGCATTCTGTCTCCCTTTCTCGCGGGGGTCGTCTCCTATAAAGCCAGATTTGGTTGCTTTGTGACCTCTCTCCTATCTTCCTCGGATTGGTCGTCTTCGATAAGACCACTTCTTCGGTCGCTGTGCGACCAACCACCCTGTTCCTTCCGGAGTGATAAGCGAAGAGCAATATCACTCCACTATCGTCGATGAGGTGAGATGAGAAGGAAAGTAAACAAATTAAACTATTTTAAATTATTTATAGAATGTTTAATAGGTAGGAATCTAGATCCGTATGACGCGATTGGTACTTCGCCTTTAGTTTCTCGCCCGAGTGATCTTGGGCAGGTTGCATAGCGTTACAGAAAACTTGGTCCTTTCGCTCCTAAAAACATTTTTTTCTTCAATTTTTGGATGTTTTTTAGGTCTCCAAATTTTTTAAAAAATTTTTACCCACGCGAAAAATTTTTATCGCGATTTTAATTTACCTTTAATGACTCACGATTAACGCTTAATTGTTTTTTAATGGGATTTTGATATCAAATTTCATTCATATTTGAATTTTTTAAAAATGTTTAAAAATATACGGCCAGCTAGTATTCACGGTACTTTAAACCCTTGTCCTCCCGAGACGTCTATGAGAATGTCCCGGGAAATCCAAAACCAGATGTTCTCAAGGTCATCCAGNGTGATCTTGGGCAGGTTGCATAGCGTTACAGAAAACTTGGTCCTTTCGCTCCTAAAAACATTTTTTTCTTCAATTTTTGGATGTTTTTTAGGTCTCCAAATTTTTTAAAAAATTTTTACCCACGCGAAAAATTTTTATCGCGATTTTAATTTACCTTTAATGACTCACGATTAACGCTTAATTGTTTTTTAATGGGATTTTGATATCAAATTTCATTCATTGTTCTAAAGTTGTAGTGCACGGATTTTACTTTGGTAAAGTTATTTAAAGGTACTTTCTGATATCAAAAACGATCTCCAATAGTTATTTGATTTTTTTAATTAATAGATTTTATTATATATACGTTTATTTAAGTCGGGGGGGTCGAAAATAGCAATAAAAATTTGAATTTTTTAAAAATGTTTAAAAATATACGGCCAGCTAGTATTCACGGTACTTTAAACCCTTGTCCTCCCGAGACGTCTATGAGAATGTCCCGGGAAATCCAAAACCAGATGTTCTCAAGGTCATCCAGTTGTGTAAACAATGACTCATCAGTGTCAAACTTCGCAGAAAGGCGAGAAAATAGAAAATAAAGTTTGAAGCTTTTTCTTCAAAATTAAGCATTTCTTCCGTTTTTTCAGTTTTAAGTATTTTTTATGTTTAATTACATTAATATTAAAAATTGTTGGGAACTAAAGCGATTAACAGAGCTGTAGAGCATATTGATAGAAATAAAAAAGTTAAAGGAACGGTGCCTCATGTGAATTTGTAAAGAACGCCCACTAGGGAGCGTCCCTGGCTACTAGTATATTATATAAATTACTGACAAGTCTTGCTAATGCTTTAATTAATGATTTAAAACGCTATATTTCATATAGAAATTTTAAACGGTATTGGTTATTGCCAGAGTGGATAATACCACTAAACCAGGGGTGGCCAACAGTTTTCCCTCCGGGACGAATTGAAAAAAAAAACTTTTTTCACGGGCCGAACCAGAGGCTGTCCTAGGAAGATTTTGAGTAGGTGCGAGATCTCATTGTGGTGTAACCCTGTAGAGAGTAAATTGTACAGTACATAGCAATTACAGATACATTTTTCATATTATCATGCTTTATCAACATTCTAAGCTGTACTTAAGAGTTTTGTAATGGAGGGTTAACTCTAAACGCACAGTGAGTCGTTGACCTATTATTTTAGGCGTCAAAATTTTTCATCGAGCTATTCGAACTTGAGTAGCTAATACTGATAGATTAATCGCAGGCTTCATAAATTCATTAGACTCTTGTTCTCTTGCTGGAAAAGTGCTAGAAAAGAAATATGGAACCTTGAAGTAGTGAATATCCGTTCTTTAGCAAAAGATAAACATTTGACGGTAAACGAACCGGATCCGGCCGCGGGCCGTATGTTGGCCATGCCTGCACTATACTCTGGTAATCGGTCGAGGATGCGCGCTTCACGAACAGGTTCGTCACCTGAAGAATTCTGGGTTCTCTTCACGTTAGTAAAAAAACCAAATTTATTATTTTCCTGTTGGAAAAAATAAAATTATGCTGTTTATAAATAACGGCACCAAAACAATCAACAAGAAAGAGGCAAAAGAGGTGGTTAATGGCACCCTGGTTGCTGGTTATCAGGACTTCATGCAATCAGCTGCGAATTGTTTGGTTGGAAACAGATGTACTCAGTAACTAGACGCAAGTTGTTTCAGATGTCACGTGCGGGTCCAGACAGACTGATCGGCAAATCTACCAGTCTGTGCGCTCTATTGTTCACTGGTGAGATGTTTACCATTATCGGCGAGTTTACATATGATTCTGTGTCCATCGTGTTACATATTGCAGAATGGTACTCACATAGTGCCTAGCACGCGTCATCATTGAACGCATCGACAAACCGAGGCCATGCAGATCCAAATAATACAGTTTCCTTCCGAGCTATTATCTGGTGTTATTCAGCTCGCTTATGTCTCTGAGGCATTTTCTACGCATCTATAAAAGTTTGGATCCCGCGATAGCCCAAGCCAGCTAATGAACTTGATAGCCCCAAACTAGATACTAGATGACCCACTGTACATGCGAACATGATCTCTCTCACCTCTACAGAACTTGCAATTTAATACCGCTACGCATATTTCTTCGTGATGATAAGATGTCATATTTGAGGAGTGTATAAGTAACTTTGTGAAACCAAAATTGCTTATAACGAGTAGCTAGTAAAAACTTGTAGTGTTACAAAATTTTTATCCGATAGATTTTGCTTGTAATTTATAGCTTGTAAAGCTTTTAACATTTGAAATATTTTATATAATAGGGTTCTTTTCTACAAGTAATGATATAAATATATTGCTTCAAAATTAATTATCAATTAATAAAGGGCAACCACAATATACAATAATGAACGCTTTTCCAATAACGGATCATAGTGGATAAAATATAATCTGCAAGAAAGTTCATCCAATATTTCTTCATAATAATTTAATAACAAGGGCAAAATTTCTTTTAGTAGATAATAATTATTTAATCTCGCCATTTGGATTAACAATTATTAAATGATAGATAGCTCAATTAATAATTTACAACTACGTAGTTTCAAATAGTAATGATTACCTCAGGTTTGAGTAATGTTTCCCAAAGAAAAATTGTATAGGAATGTATAAAAATATTACTGACATTCCAACAAAAATGGCCCATTTATAATACTGCCACAATACTATTATTGTAATTATGATTAAGAAAGGATTCGTAAATAAACATAAAACGGTAACGACGTGCTGTAATAAAAAAAGAATTGCATATATAAATAAATTAAAGAAAAAGCAAATATATTTTAATACGTAAAAACTTTACAAAATAATATATTTAATTAAGGTTACTACATAATACTCTGTATTTTGGGGGTATGACATTACTATTAAAAAATCAACGTCAGATCTATCATAAGGAGAAGAATTACGCAATTTTAAACTGAATGCATTCTTAGTAATATATACTGCATACATAATGATTTTTTAGAGAAAAAACTCAGTTTGGAAAATATTAAATTAATTAACACACTTAAAATATTACTTTTCAATAAAATATATATATGTATGTATGTATTGTACTCACGTTACAAAATTTGCTGACATCATTTGCAAGAAGGTTCACCATCTGACCTACATTTGATTTTGCCAGAGACGAAGAACTTAAGTTAATTGCCTGTATATAAATGTTTTTATTAAAATTAATTTCGTGCAGTTATATTAAATATCAACAGCAATACATCGAAAAAATAGAATATTTATTTCATTTATTAGTGAATTAATAAAATGTACAAATTACTTTTTTGTAGGCCAAAAATAAGGAACTTATTAATAAATTTCATGAAGTATCAGTTTCAATCAGCTCTGTAATAGTACTGAATCAACAAGGTATGAAAATAAAGGCAAAAGCCAAAATTACACAAACATTCATAATAAAAAAAATATTTAATACATTCCACAAAAAATTACATACTTTACTTCTTGACATAATCTCCGTAAACATGAGTCATTTATTCATGAGTGACACTAGTTCGAACATCCCTTAATGGTACTGCTCCTTGTCAAGTTGCTTGACATAGTCCAGAGTGGTGTTTTGAAATTCATCCTGATCCACAAAGCGTTTACCCGCAAAGAATTTATTGAAAGGTCCGAATAAATGATAATCCGAGTGGTTCTAAATCTGGAGGATATGGAGAGTGTTGCAGGACTTCCTAATTCTGCTGTGCCAATTACATTTTTTTTGTACTTGACATGTGGCGTATAGTCCAAATTTGGAACACCATAAATTTTCATTTATTCGAACTTTTCAAAAAATTTTTCATGCGGAAATTCTTTGCGGATCAGGAGGAATTGAAAGGCACTATACTAGACTACTTGAACTAAGTTGACCAAAGGTGAACGGATGTTCAGACAAGTGTCACACAGAGATAAATTTTTCAACGTTTACGGAGATTATGTCGAGAAATGAACAAAAGTATGTAGTTTTTTGTGAAATGTATTAAATATTTTTTAATTATAAATGTTAGTGTAATTTTAACTTGTACTTTTAATATCGGACGCTTCTCTTATATACAGGGTCGTCGAAATTAAACTTTTTCAACTCATAGGGCTATGAAAAGTGTTTTACTGATGTAAATCAAATGTTTGGCAATACGTACTTGAGATAATGCACTCGCCATTTATTAAACAAAAATTTCTTGTACAAAACTCACCGAAGGTTTCATTGGAATTATTCGTATGGCATTTTGAACTTGTTCCATTACTGGAGAATAAGATTTTAACATGCTTACGAATTTTTGATCCCAGAGCATTAGAATAAGCTTTGAAAATACCATTTTCATGAAGGATGGTGCACTATTCCGCATGCTCGCTCTGTTCAATGTGTCTTTAGGTAGACTTTCACAGATTAATAAGTGATCAGTAATTACTTCCCAATAGCTTGGTTTCTTTATTTGTTACATTTTACCTCATATGAGTTCTATCTATGGAATTTTTTAAAGTCTAGGTATATCGTGAAAGATGTGCATTTGTATCAGATCTAAAAAACATAGTTCGTCGTAATGTTTTCGTGATTAAAGCGGACTCATTGTGTTCATCAGTACAAAACATACTTTTGCGAATGGAGCATATATTTAACTTTTGTAACCGTGATTTCCATAGCTACAGCAGCACTTATCAGTGACTTTTTGTACAAAACATATTTATTTAATAAACGGTCAGCGCATTATTTGAAGTATCTGTTATCCAAATATTATCTGATTTTTAACAGTAGAACACTCTACAGAACCCCCTGATTTAAAAGAGTTTAATTTCAACAACCATGTAATTTTAAAAAGCAATTTAGTATATATATTAAAAGTTTATATATGTAAGTTTGTAAAATCCTAAAATATGGCTCCAACTAAAAAATACGTGTTGCTTCATCTGTTGTGAAAATTGACCTATTACTGATTACTACAAAAACGCTCCTCTGCGGAAATGCTCCCTATCTTATTTTAGAGAGAGGAGATTTATATATTCCACTAACAAAGTAAAAGTTTTGTTCACTATCACTATACTCGAGATATGACATATGTTCTCTATTTCCTTGACCTGTACTGGCCATGTATATGGATATAATCTATGCAAAGCTTCAAAACTTTTAGTTCAATAAATTCGGAGATATAATGCAAAATACATAAACAAACACAATAAATCAAGAAATTTATTAGGAGTTACTTTTTTAGATTAGCATACCACAACCGAGGGTACGCTTTTCGAGATTTAAGAATTCACCAAAACATAATAATGGCGGATATACTGTAAAAATATTCTCTACAGTTTTCTATTTTACAAGAAACGAAATCCGAATATGTTGGAAATAAACAGTAATTACTTGTGGAAAAATGTAAAATGCACTACATTTTACTTATGCGTTATTGTTTACATTCTTAATTTTTACAGAACTGAAGCAATTGATTATAACTTAACAATGTTTATAACTAGATATATATGTAACACATTTAATTATTTATATCTAATTAAGTTATACGTTTACAGTTCAAATTAAGATACTCACATTTCTATATAGAACAGTATACAAAGCTATCTTCAATTTCATGCTTAAAACTTCTGTTACGAAGAAATTAATATTATAGATAAATAAATAAATTGCAGTTATACCAAAAAACCCCGCAATTGATAAATAAGCACGTAATTCATTCCAATCCGAAGTGTTGTCAAAATAATTAATAACTAATCCCAAAACATATGCCTGGATTCCTATTATAACAGTATCCTAAAAACGTATTGTTTACTTAATTCTTTCATTCGATAAAAGCATATTAACGTTTTTGTAATCTCTTATGATACCTGAATAACTGCAAGTATAATTGCAGTAAAAAATTGCCATCCAAGGAATCGCAATATAGCTTTCAACATGCTTGGATTTCTATCTTTCAGTTCTTTATTCCATTCTCTGAAAGACATTGTACAGGTTCGTTAATAAATAATGGTGAATAGATATTTTACAACATTGATAATTTTAATTTTCTATTTATTACATATTATTATTTCAAAATATTCCTTAATTCGAGTTCGTATTCCATTGTGTTGACAACTTCACACTACGTTCAAAACAGTTTGTTATTGGTGAAGTCATAACTGAATCGCTAATTAATTAAAAAAAACTGGTTACACAAGTTTATTTCTTTAAAACTGTTTACAAACTATTTCTCAATTAATTTTTTCACATTTGCAATCAATAAAATAAGAATTCTACATTCAAAACAATTACGCGGCTAAGTTTATTTAAATAAGAGCATTTAATATATATACTGTATATACATCAGAGTGTAAATAATTATATTTCATATAAATTTAATTTAGATATTAATTGATAAACTTACTTCTGCAGAAGGTTTCCAAGATACTCAGAAGAATGATATTTCGAAGTTTCATATAAATCTTCCTGTTGTAAATGGTGTTTTCTTCCTTTGATTAGTAAAGGAATAAGCCAACTGAAAAAACAATAATTTGTTACCGCAAATTAATGTCATTACAAAAATAAAATATTTATATTAAAATTTTACTACTACTTTTTTTCAATAATATATCCTCTGAGAATTTCATATACAAAAACTTAACTGAAAAGTGTGCATTGTAAACACCGATGTCTTCCTGACGATTTCATGACAATAAATTAACATTTTCGATATTATCAACTACAAAGCTTACAATTTTTTTTCATTCTTTCTATTGGACATTTTATTGTTAGTTATTGTTTTTTTTCAAGAGGGTTATTTTGTTGTATTTTCCCAAGTTTAAAAATACAAAAACAAATCTACTCCTTGAAGCAATGTCTACCGTTTCGATAATTTGTAGGCATTGCTCCGTTATAGATTTCCTTTAAGCCAGTGACTTTTGCCATAAAAGCTGTACTAACGAACTAAGGATCGAGAGAAAAGACGATTTTCTACTTTTAAAAAAGCTACGTTAATACCCTTGATGTTGCAATGTAAAATACATCTGTTTGCCATAGTACTAACAGACTGTTTGTGACCTCTGTCGTGCACTGCTGCTATACACTCCTCCATCGGCGTGTTTGCAGATGTTCTTGTTACCATCGTGTCATACATTGCAGGATGGTACTCACATCGGGTCCAACACGCGTGGCAACTGAACGCATCGACAAACCAAAGTCGCGCATCCCCAAGATAAAGTCTCGTTGCCAAGTTAACTAGTGGTATCCTTTTCGCAATTTTCTCGAAGAAATTTTTTATGCTTCCTCGAAATTTTTGCTAATGCAAACCGTCACTGATAACACTTACAGCTCAAACTGCTGAAATTTATAGCCGAAATCTAGGAACTAGATGGCCTGTTCTGTACGCAAACTTTAATTTATTGCGTATTGCTGTCACTTTTTCCAGTAATGCAATTTACACTTCGTGCATTCCTACACTATCAGTCATAAAGAGGACAAACTAGAAAATAATTATGGTGTAGTAAGTCTAACGAAAAAGAAAAAGCTGTCATAGAGCTAGTATAATTGTACACATTATAAGAAGCATATTACAGAAGTTCCTTTCTGTTGTTGCAGTTTCACTTTTCAGGAGTGTATGTCACTCATTAGTATTGCTTTGGATATAAAATTTAATTAATCGCAAATGAAGTCACCTGATTTTTTTTTTGTTAATTAATAATTCGTATTACTATGGTTACCAGATTAAATGTCATTCTTTTGATATTATTCTTTGTGTCACTTGAGACACAAAGAATAATACCAAAAGAAAGGTCTTAAGTTCGTGAATGAAATAAACATCAATCTGCCAGGAAATCTTTGAATAATATATTTTTATAATAATTATTTTTAATTAGAAAGCAATACTAAAAATAAATTTGTCCTATTATTAAAATGATTTATTATGGAGAATGACATATTAATTACAACGTTTTCATTCATGTGAAACAGTACAAAAATATTAATATTTAAATTATGCAACGTATTTTTCGGATAAAATAGTAATTATCTCAGCAATTCTATGTATTCTTTAAAATATGAAATAGTGTATTATTAATTATAAAAATATCTCCTATCTTTAAAAATAAAAATCTTTTTCTTAATAGTGATATTATAAATATTTAGGTTGAAGTTATAGGAACATACAAATGAATACAATTTTCGTATTTTCATTATTATAATACAAGATTACGGTTGTGTATATAAAATGAAAAAATTAATTACGTACAAAAATCCTATTTACATAGATAATAAACTAATATAAAAATTGTGTTCAATTTTCAATATATAATATTATTATATATCATATGTTTCATGTGATATATATTATAATATTTCTTCTTGATCAAAGGAAACAATTAGAGATTTATGTTTCTATTCTCTATAAACAAGAGAAAAAGTCTTTGTCAGCAAGTTTATACACGAGGCATTTAATAATAAGGAAAGTCTCTATGTATTTTTGAATAGATTTTTCTACAAAGTGCAGTAATTGTTTTATGTTTCTTTCTTTTCATACATTTCCAACAGAATTTATAGATCGTTATTAAATTTTTTGAGTAATTTAAAGAATATTATGCACCAAATACTACAAATATCCAAATAATAAATATCACGCGTGGAAAACATTCCAGAATGTATAAAGGAAATAAAACAATATCCATTCTGAATAGAAATTTAGGTGAAAAAAATTAAAACACTTCGTTTATAAAACTTCTGGATTTATATAATGTAAATGACTTTCGTTTATAATAAGGTTAAATTTATAATAAACGACGCTGAAATTCGACATGTAATTAAATAAATATCTCTCAGATTTTATGGTACAAATATTGTTTCTTTATGTATTTAAGGAATGAACAGAGATAATAACTCTACGAAACATCTACCACAACAGAACTTTACGTTTTCTTTTTCTAACATTTTTTATTAAAAATTTTACTTTATCTGTTAATAAAATTCTTCTATTTTCTTTCAAACAATTACCATATACATTTACAGTCAGATTATTTGTGCCGAGTCATTATGTTTATTAGAATTTTGACATTGACATTTATTTCAAATATTTTTCTGGTCATAAATACAACTGTATTCTTCTGTTACAAAGGTATAGACAGGGCATTATAATATTTTATATTTGTACATTAATAAATTATTCAACTGTTCCAGAATTGTTTTTAACCCCTTTATAGTTCTGTCTATAATGTCTATAAGAAGTAAAATATAATATTAAAAAAATCCGGCGACGAGTTGTTAAACTTTCCCTCACAACTTTCGGTGATGCCATCAGTTACCATATTTTATTTTTAAAAACCTTTAATACTTTTAATTTTTATAAAATGGCAAACAGTTGTAGTTTAATGTCAGGAATGGCGTTTATAAACAATTGTAAATAGTAATAGCGAGTAAAATCGTGATTAAATTATACCCTATACGAGATATGACCTTTTTTACCTCTACATCCGCTCGAACTTTAACCTTATAATTTACTTTCATCAATCACCATAATATATAAAGCTGACTGTATAATTTCATTAATTTCGTGACAAAAAGCACACGAGTTATTAAGCTTCAAACACCATAAACAAAACCGTTCCCCTCAGATACACTAACGGATCCATACATACGGAAAAAACCCTGAATTATTTCGCATTTCTGGAAGTTTCAAAGTCCTCTGACTCCAAAAATATAAAAATCTTGAAGGTCGTTTTTGACCGATTATAATACTTTCTGTTTGTTTCTATAACAGCCGGAAAAGTAATATAAAGAAAGCAAATTTATATAAATCACTATTATATGATTAATAAACTACACGGAAGAATTAAGTTTGTTTTTAAATCTACCCTTTTAGAATAATATGCACGATATGGAAGTCACACGAGAACATTACCAATTATATTTACATTAAATTTCAAATACTAATCAGTTTAAATTTAATTACATACCAGAAAAATGCACGAGAGAAAACACCAGCTGAGTCAAATGGATTATTTTTCTCTTTCTCATTCATTCTATATTAACATGTAGCTTTGCAATATTCTACACACTTCATCAAGAGAAATACAAGTTACGTCTAACTATATGAAAAATATCAATATTCTCATAGGAAAATATGCAAGTGTAAACGTTAAACGAGTTATTTATGTTATTGGATGTCATCATATAATAAACAGTGAGNATAAAAAAGTTAAAGGAACGGTGCCTCATGTGAATTTGTAAAGAACGCCCACTAGGGAGCGTCCCTGGCTACTAGTATATTATATAAATTACTGACAAGTCTTGCTAATGCTTTAATTAATGATTTAAAACGCTATATTTCATATAGAAATTTTAAACGGTATTGGTTAGTGCCCGAGTGGATAATACCACTAAACCAGGGGTGGCCAACAGTTTTCCCTCCGGGACGAATTGAAAAAAAAAACTTTTTTCACGGGCCGAACCAGAGGCTGTCCTAGGAAGATTTTGAGTAGGTGCGAGATCTCATTGTGGTGTAACCCTGTAGAGAGTAAATTGTACAGTACATAGCAATTACAGATACATTTTTCATATTATCATGCTTTATCAACATTCTAAGCTGTACTTAAGAGTTTTGTAATGGAGGGTTAACTCTAAACGCACAGTGAGTCGTTGACCTATTATTTTAGGCGTCAAAATTTTTCATCGAGCTATTCGAACTTGAGTAGCTAATACTGATAGATTAATCGCAGGCTTCATAAATTCATTAGACTCTTGTTCTCTTGCTGGAAAAGTGCTAGAAAAGAAATATGGAACCTTGAAGTAGTGAATATCCGTTCTTTAGCAAAAGATAAACATTTGACGGTAGACGGGCCGGATCCGGCCGCGGGCCGTATGTTGGCCATGCCTGCACTATACTCTGGTAATCGGTCGAGGATGCGCGCTTCACGAACAGGTTCGTCACCTGAAGAATTCTGGGTTCTCTTCACGTTAGTAAAAAAACCAAATTTATTATTTTTCTGTTGGAAAAAATAAAATTATGCTGTTTATAAATAACGGCACCAAAACAATCAACAAGAAAGAGGCAAAAGAGGTGGTTAATGGCACCCTGGTTGCTGGTTATCAGGACTTCATGCAATCAGCTGCGAATTGTTTGGTTGGAAACAGATGTACTCAGTAACTAGACGCAAGTTGTTTCTGATGTCACGTGCGGGTCCAGACAGACTGATCGGCAAATCTACCAGTCTGTGCGCTCTATTGTTCACTGGTGAGATGTTTACCATTATCGGCGAGTTTACATATGATTCTGTGTCCATCGTGTTACATATTGCAGAATGGTACTCACATAGTGCCTAGCACGCGTCATCATTGAACGCATCGACAAACCGAGGCCATGCAGATCCAAATAATACAGTTTCCTTCCGAGCTATTATCTGGTGTTATTCAGCTCGCTTATGTCTCTGAGGCATTTTCTACGCATCTATAAAAGTTTGGATCCCGCGATAGCCCAAGCCAGCTAATGAACTTGATAGCCTCAAACTGGGTACTAGGTGACCCACTGTACGTGCGAACATGATCTCTCTCACCTCTACAGAACTTGCAATTTAATACCGCTACGCATATTTCTTCGTGATGATAAGATGTCATATTTGAGGAGTGTATAAGTAACTTTGTGAAACCAAAATTGCTTATGACGAGTAGCTAGTAAAAACTTGTAGTGTTACAAAATTTTTATCCGACAGATTTTGCTTGTAATTTATAGCTTGTAAAGCTTTTAACATTTGAAATATTTTATATAATAGGGTTCTTTTCTACAAGTAATGATATGAATATATTGCTTCAAAACTAATTATCAATTAATAAAGGGCAACCACAATGTACAATAATGAACGCTTTTCCAATAACGGATCATAGTGGATAAAATATAATCTGCAAGAAAGTTCATCCAATATTTCTTCATAATAATTTAATAACAAGGGCAAAATTTCTTTTAGTAGATAATAATTATTTAATCTCGCCATTTGGATTAACAATTATTAAATGATAGATAGCTCAATTGATAATTTACAATTACGTAGTTTCAAATAGTAATGATTACCTCAGGTTTGAGTAATGTTTCCCAAAGAAAAATTGTATAGGAATGTATAANTCTCTTTTGTAAAGTTAACATTTTTATTTAATATATCATATATTTACAGTTTATAAACAAGCTTAAAGTTTAACTTAGAACATAACATATATTTTCCAATGGTAATGATACAGTATAAATGATGTTAAAATATTTTTATTGATATAATAATTACCTCCATGTAATAAAAAATAAAAAACAATGTCTCTGTAGAGAGCCGCTGGAAGAACTCCACAGCATCACAATGTGGTAAGCCCTGGGGATAGTAAGGGGGCACGGGACAAAGATTCCGAGGAAGGTAAGGCCTGAATATACAAACATTGAATTAATTATTTAGTGATTAAAATATTTTAATGTTTTTTTTTTTTATTTAAAATATTTTTAACTTGAAAAAAAAACTGGCAACAAAATATAAGAGATGATTTTGTAATTTTGAAAACCGACAAAAATATATTTTATTACAGAAAGTGCTAAATTGTTGGAATTTCTATATAGAAACTAGAAACTCTACTTCTGACACCTTTTGAAATCCAACTGTAAAATATTACTTTTCAATATGCTATGCACTTTTTTGTAACTTAAAGTAATTGTGTGTAATTAGCATAAAAATATGAAAAGAGACAATTTTGGGGATCATCGGCGTCCACGAATCTGCTCAGAAAATAAAATTAAAATATTACTTTTCAATAAAATATATATATGTATGTATGTATTGTACTCACGTTACAAAATTTGCTGACATCATTTGCAAGAAGGTTCACCATCTGACCTACATTTGATTTTGCCAGAGACGAAGAACTTAAGTTAATTGCCTGTATATAAATGTTTTTATTAAAATTAATTTCGTGCAGTTATATTAAATATCAACAGCAATACATCGAAAAAATAGAATATTTATTTCATTTATTAGTGAATTAATAAAATGTACAAATTACTTTTTTGTAGGCCAAAAATAAGGAACTTATTAATAAATTTCATGAAGTATCAGTTTCAATCAGCTCTGTAATAGTACTGAATCAACAAGGTATGAAAATAAAGGCAAAAGCCAAAATTACACAAACATTCATAATAAAAAAAATATTTAATACATTCCACAAAAAATTACATACTTTACTTCTTGACATAATCTCCGTAAACATGAGTCATTTATTCATGAGTGACACTAGTTCGAACATCCCTTAATGGTACTGCTCCTTGTCAAGTTGCTTGACATAGTCCAGAGTGGTGTTTTGAAATTCATCCTGATCCACAAAGCGTTTACCCGCAAAGAATTTATTGAAAGGTCCGAATAAATGATAATCCGAGTGGTTCTAAATCTGGAGGATATGGAGAGTGTTGCAGGACTTCCTAATTCTGCTGTGCCAATTACATTTTTTTTGTACTTGACATGTGGCGTATAGTCCAAATTTGGAACACCATAAATTTTCATTTATTCGAACTTTTCAAAAAATTTTTCATGCGGAAATTCTTTGCGGATCAGGAGGAATTGAAAGGCACTATACTAGACTACTTGAACTAAGTTGACCAAAGGTGAACGGATGTTCAGACAAGTGTCACACAGAGATAAATTTTTCAACGTTTACGGAGATTATGTCGAGAAATGAACAAAAGTATGTAGTTTTTTGTGAAATGTATTAAATATTTTTTAATTATAAATGTTAGTGTAATTTTAACTTGTACTTTTAATATCGGACGCTTCTCTTATATACAGGGTCGTCGAAATTAAACTTTTTCAACTCATAGGGCTATGAAAAGTGTTTTACTGATGTAAATCAAATGTTTGGCAATACGTACTTGAGATAATGCACTCGCCATTTATTAAACAAAAATTTCTTGTACAAAACTCACCGAAGGTTTCATTGGAATTATTCGTATGGCATTTTGAACTTGTTCCATTACTGGAGAATAAGATTTTAACATGCTTACGAATTTTTGATCCCAGAGCATTAGAATAAGCTTTGAAAATACCATTTTCATGAAGGATGGTGCACTATTCCGCATGCTCGCTCTGTTCAATGTGTCTTTAGGTAGACTTTCACAGATTAATAAGTGATCAGTAATTACTTCCCAATAGCTTGGTTTCTTTATTTGTTACATTTTACCTCATATGAGTTCTATCTATGGAATTTTTTAAAGTCTAGGTATATCGTGAAAGATGTGCATTTGTATCAGATCTAAAAAACATAGTTCGTCGTAATGTTTTCGTGATTAAAGCGGACTCATTGTGTTCATCAGTACAAAACATACTTTTGCGAATGGAGCATATATTTAACTTTTGTAACCGTGATTTCCATAGCTACAGCAGCACTTATCAGTGACTTTTTGTACAAAACATATTTATTTAATAAACGGTCAGCGCATTATTTGAAGTATCTGTTATCCAAATATTATCTGATTTTTAACAGTAGAACACTCTACAGAACCCCCTGATTTAAAAGAGTTTAATTTCAACAACCATGTAATTTTAAAAAGCAATTTAGTATATATATTAAAAGTTTATATATGTAAGTTTATAAAATCCTAAAATATGGCTCCAACTAAAAAATACGTGTTGCTTCATCTGTTGTGAAAATTGACCTATTACTGATTACTACAAAAACGCTCCTCTGCGGAAATGCTCCCTATCTTATTTTAGAGAGAGGAGATTTATATATTCCACTAACAAAGTAAAAGTTTTGTTCACTATCACTATACTCGAGATATGACATATGTTCTCTATTTCCTTGACCTGTACTGGCCATGTATATGGATATAATCTATGCAAAGCTTCAAAACTTTTAGTTCAATAAATTCAAAGATATAATGCAAAATACATAAACAAACACAATAAATCAAGAAATTTATTAGGAGTTACTTTTTTAGATTAGCATACCACAACCGAGGGTACGCTTTTCGAGATTTAAGAATTCACCAAAACATAATAATGGCGGATATACTGTAAAAATATTCT